TAAAAATACAGTCTATTCACCTAAATACCCCCAATCTTCCCCAGCACAATTACCACAACACCCAAATCTTTCCCCAAAAGGACCAAAACCGACGCGGATTTTCATTTCCATTTTAAAATCCGCCTATGAATTAATTGGATTCCCAGATATCACTCCGCTTTATTTTCTCTCTTTTTCTGCTTAAAGAATTTGCAGAATTTAAGACCCCAAATCCTTCTTGCTTCTCCTCAGATCTTCAGTCTTTTCAGTTTCCAGAGGAAATCTAGGATCGGCAAACCGGAAAATGGCCAGAGTATTGTTGCTCATTGCACTCTGCGTGCTCCCAGCTCTCGTCACTGCAACTCGTCCCAACAAGAACCCGTTTCTGGTTCAGGGTCGCGTCTACTGTGACACTTGCCGTGCTGGCTTTGAGACCCCCAAGACCACCTACATGGCTGGTATGACACCATTTCTCTCCACTTTTTTGGTGTTCTGGATATTTGGATAGGAGTGTTTCCGTGGGATTTTTGGTGGGTTAAATTGTTAGATCTGAGTTCCCTCTCTGCAAATTGAGGGGTCTCAGAGTCTCTGCTTTTGATGTTTGTGAATGGGTGGGATTTTGTGGCCAATTGTATAGATCTTACTTATTGGTAGCTTAACATTATAAATAATTGAAGAAAGTGACTGAGAGTATGGGAAAAATGTATCATTGTCTTCTTTGATGGTGATAGTTTTTGCTTTGACTGGTTGTAGACCACAAAGTTCAAGTCTTGAGATTAACGGCTTTAACCCCCCTTCGCCCCAAGAAATAATGGTACATATAAAAACAGTATTGTGTCCCTGGGGTGTTGAACTAGAGGGTTTTCTTGAAGGGGTTTTAGGATCTATTCCAAATTTTTGCTTTTTGGTCTTCTTCTGGAAGCAAAGATCTGGTTTTGTGGGATAATAGATTGTATCAACTAATATTATATCAAGTCTAACTCCAGGGGTCTTTCAAATTCAACCCAACAGATTGCAATTTGAGAAGGAATTGTTCATTTTAAGTCATGCTACACTAGATTTAGTAGATGTAGATCCTTGCAAATGTAATCAAGTGGATAAACTTTTCACATTATTCTTAATTGGATTGTGTTTTGAAAGCTTGTTTGTTGGTTTGTAGGGGCCAGGGTTAGAGTGGAATGCAAGAACAGGCGAACAGGGGAACTTATGTACACCAAGGATGGTGAGACTGATTCAACCGGCACATACAAGGTTACGGTGAATGAGGACCATAAGGATCAGGTTTGTGATTGCATGCTTGTGAGCAGCTCCCAGCCTGACTGTGCCAAAATGTCCATGGGTAGGGAACGTGCCCGTGTGATCTTGACAAACTTCAATGGCATTGCCTCAAACAACCGTTATGCCAATGCAATGGGCTTTGAGAAGGACGAGCCTGAATCTGGCTGTGCTGAGGTCCTCAAGCTTTACCAGGACGCCGAGGAAGATGTGTAGTGTCTAGTGTGTTGGCTCTAGTGTCTCCAATGCACATCAATTATATTAGTATTGCTTGGTGTTTGTTTGCTTTTAGTGCGTGAATTGTTTTATGGTTACTGCTTTGGAAGACATATATGTACTCTGTTGATGGATTCTATTTATTAAAAATATATGGTACTCGATCAATCTTTTTCCCTTGAATAAATTCTCTCTTCTAGACATTATTTGGTGGTTCTGTTGCTGAGATCAGAGCCAGTGGTTCTTGAGCCATGAAGATTCTGGGCTCCTATGAGTGTCCATTAGACCTGTACTGACAATTTAGCCATCGAAGAGTCCAGAACAAAAGGGATGGATATATACCCTATTCCCAACCCAAATCCCATCTTTATTTGGGTCGTGTTCCAGCACGCACCACGGCATCAATTTGAGTCAAACTAAGTAGGGGTGAATATTTGGAACACCGGTTACTAACAAGTATA